TTTGAGCCAAAACAATAATATCACATTAAACTAAATACTACAAGAGCTCTGGCTAAGATATATGGACACACCTTTAACGTATACATTGGAGATAAAATACGTAAACGTATATAAATTCTTTACAGACTTCAAAATACTTCAAAATAATAGAAGTAAATATATATATATTTTTAAGTGTTATACATTTATTGTTTTAGCTCATCAGAGCTTTGGCTCCCTGTTTCCCTGGGGAAAATTTCCATTGAAAAACAACAAAACTTAACCACATTTTAGTCAAATAAATAAGATAAAGAATAAAATAAGCGAATACAAAAATGTGACAAAAACAGTGATTACACTAGTTTTTAACAAATATTTAAATGAATCTGAGCCGTTAAGCTATTCCACAATTCTCAGACTTCCTTTAGCTGCTCTTCAAAATGGGAAACATGATAAAACATGTCATTCAAGTTCAGTAGATGTGCTGCAAGAAATGGCTACCTGCCCAGAATTGGAGCAAACCAGGCTGGACATGAAACAAAAGTTGTTTTTTATTTTTCTTACTATAAAGTGGTAAATTATGCAAAATAAAGAAAAATCTGCAAGAACAACAGTTCAACTTTTTTTGCGATTAGACTGCTATTTTATTATTCATTTAACATCCGACATCAGTGGATGTCAATTGAAACTCAATTGTTGAGTTTGTAGGCATCACAAGAGAACTAATAAAATGACCATTGCCGTCACTGACCTGCAACTTTCAACCAAGCGAATGTTCTTCTTTCCCAGAGACAACAGTCAAAGCAGAGAGGAGGCTCTGTCCGTGCTGCGTTCAAGCGGGGAGTTTGTGCGTTACGCTCTGAGCGTGGCGGTTCAGAAGATCCAGCAGCTGGAGGACACCGGACACACGGACGGTCCAGATGGACAGCATTCAGACAGGACTTTCCGCTTCCTCTGTGACATGACGAGGTTCAACATCCCCACGTCTTTAAGAGCCTTTCGATTTATTCATCTTTTGCTGTTTTGTAGTTTTACTTGTCCACTGCTGGGACAGCTGCAGATGACGAGTGATCTCCCCGTCTGTCTCGCAGCGTCCTGATGTGGCGCTACACCAACATCCCGCGCGCGGTGGAGGAGGCGGGGAAGAAGGAGAAGCGCTGCAGCTTGTCCCAGCTTTGTCTGGACGGTCTGCTCCGGATCTTCACAACCTGCCAGCAGCGCTGCCCAGAGAAGATGGCCCAGCTGCTCTCTGCCATGGGTTAGAGATGCATCCAATCTGTGACCCTCAGGTCACAAACTGTAGGGGGGGGAAGTACCAATCGTTCATATTGAAATCTCTTCTAGATGTTGAAGATGAAGCCGAGCAGGACGACGTTGCGGAGATGAACTACTTTTACATCAGACAGTTTCAGGTAGAGGCCTGAAAATTCCTCTTCCTTTACTATTACTTGCGCGACTGATATGTTTATGTGTAAATCTGTATTACTTTCGTTGCTTATTGACAGAGGGCGCTGTTCACTCAGTTGAGTGGGGGCGAGGAGGACTTCAACAGCCGAGAAGCCCAGCTGCTGGTCAGCATTTTGACCGTGCTCTCACGTCAGCTAAAGCCTTCTTCTAAACAGGCAAGGTGCACCGTTACATGGACACCGTCTCACTAAGCGGGGAGTGTTTTATCTAAATGATCTACTTTCAATTTGCAGTTTGTTCAGATGATCACCTGGACTGTGAAGATCTGCAAAGAAACCAGTTTTGGTTGGTGGCTTTTTTTTTTTTTAATCTGTGAGCTGGTTGAGCGCACAGGAACCGATCTGGAAGTTAACTCTCTTTCTTTTTTTGTTTTAGAGGACTCTGCGTTCTGTAAAGGGCTTCTGTCGCTTCTCTTCAGCTTGCAGGTCCTCTACAAGACTCCGGCGAGTCTGTTGCTGGAGCTTTGTCAAGACATTCACAGCCAGTTGGGAGACATTGATCAGGTGATGGACGCTGCTACACTTTTTCAGGGTGCGGATGTCCTTTAGAGCGGTTTTAAGTGTTAAACTGGGTGACGCGTTATAAAATATAAGGCTTTCGAACTGTGTAGTTTCCCCATCAGTGCTCCATCGGAGACCACAGCATCATGTCACCCAGTGGGTGTAAGTTCTGCGTTAACGCTCCATGTGTGGCAAGATGTGATGAAAAATGTTCTAAAACTTCAGAGTTTACTTCATAAGCAAGATGGTCTTTTTCCTGTACATTTTAGAAAATATATCCAGGATTGTTTACCTATTTTTATGCATTTTTTTAATTATGTTTTTGGTTCCCATCTTACAGCACCACCCACTCTAATTTTCATCCCTTGTTGAATGTTGTCCCTTTAAAAATGAATCTTTTAATGGCACCAGCACATTTTTTTAAATTTTCCTAACATTTTACTCATTATATGAAAAACTGATTGTTTTTTTTATTTTTTTTTTATAAATACCTTCTTTAAAAAGAATATTTTATATTTAATTGTTAAAGTAAATCGGCATTGCGTGTCTCTGGGGAATAAAAACCCGAATAAGACGACAGAGTTTCCAGCTCCAAGCACTGTGAGTAGGATGTGACGGAGGTAGCAGACGGATGCTCCTGGGTCACCAACACCTCATAAAAAAACAGTTTGTTTTGATGCCAGGAAAGCATTTTTAATGCTTAATAAGACTCTTCCGGGACTTTAACTGGAACATTTCGTTTGGTTAGATAAGACTGAAGCCACAAGAACAGAGAAATTCGTCTTTGGAATTTGAACCAGAAGAGATTTCTAAATACTTCTTCTGAAGTTTTGATGGTTTGTTTCTTTTCCACCTGCCACAATGACCTAAATCCTAAGAGATCATCTACAGATCTGGAGGGTCTCTAGAGGTAAATCCTGGAGATGTAGCCAAAGATCCCTCTTGCTCCAACCCTAAATCATGTCACAGACGTCGAGGAAGAGTCGAAATGAAGAGCAAAACGGCAACGGTGTGAGTGCCAAGAATTGCGGGAAAGATTTTTTTTTTTAAAAGCAAAAGATGATGCTACACATTTTCCAGAGGAAGGTGCCAATAAATGCGGACGGCGCTCCACCAGCCAAACAATACAGCATGTTTGTTTTTTAATCAACCCTGCTTTGTTTTTTTCCCCCTCTCTAATCAGGATGTAGAAGTGGAGAAGCAGTGTCACTTTTCCATCGTTAACATGAAAACGGCAACAGCAGCAGCAGTACGTATCTGTTTTCCAGCTGCAGGTCTTGGAGTCATTGTGAAATTCCTCCTCCGGTATCTCTAAGCCGTCTCCTCCCGTTTTTGACTTGTAAAATCTCTCCCCAGCTGCTCGTCCTGACTCAGGTTGACCGAGTGCTGGATGAAGTGGACTGGCTCATTGCCAGGAAGAAAAGCCAAACAGCTTCTGAGAAACCCGGCTCTGGTACGATCCCCTTTTCCAAAGGCGCGTAGTTGGATTATCGATCCACAGCCTTCGGACAGTTGAACAGAGCCTGAACTTCTCTGGTTGCAGCCGACGCCTCCCAGGCTGCGGGCCAGCAAGACCCGGTTGAGAAGGCGGTGACCCTGCAGCTGGGAACTCTGCTGACCGCATTAAACGAGCTGGTCCAGACGGCCCTTCTTCCTGGGAACTGCACCGTAACACTGCTGAGAGAGCTGAGTCGCACCTACGCCACCCTCACCACCCTGGTCAAATACGTGTGTATCTGCCCGGCTGATCATTTCAGCGACTGTGCATCAGTGTCCCGGTGTGACGCTTCCTTTTGTCTGTTAAATCTACACTGCAGTACATCCAGGCGTGTGCCAGCCAGCACGGGTCACTGCCAAGCAGATTTGAGAAACTGGTAAGTCTGAAGTTTTACTACTTGGTTTTAATTTCCTTTATAGTTTGTTTTTTATTTAAGGCTTCCTCTATGCAGGTGAAGCTATCCGGTTCCCACCTGACCCCGCAGTGCTACTCCTTCATCACTTACGCCCAAGTATAGTCACCATCAGTTTGGTGTTATAAAGGCCAGCCTCGTCCTCCACAGGAAGCATTAAGTTTTTCTGTTTTTTTTCTTTTTTCCTTGGTTAGAGTGGAGAATCCAACCCTGGCGATGACAAGAAGAAGAAGAAAAGGAACGAGGTGAACGCTGCTGCGTCGGTGAGGAATTTAACCGTGTAGAAATGAATCGCCAAACCTGACGTGGCTGAGATCTATCTATTTTTTTAAAAATGGTGCAAAAGCAACAGAGATGAATGTGAAGCAAATCCAAGAGCTTTGTAAAGATAAACTCTCAAGGACCCGGGTATCGCTGCGCTTGGTTAGCCAGATAACATGCCTGATCAAAAAGTCAAAGAAAAATCCGTGGAGGATTTTAACAGGAATTTTGGAGACCGTAGACGAGCTGGAGGAGGATATGGGTTTTGAATTAATGAGATCAACTTTGCAGTGATTAGTTCACAGGCTTTCTATTATTGTTGATTTTGAATATTTACTTTTCTCTGGGCAGGCAAAGCTTCTCCGTGAGACAACGGCCATCCCCAACCTGATCTTCAGCATCGAGCAGTATGAGAAGTACCTCATCACTCTCTCAAAGAAGTCAAAGGTCTGTTTAAACCGGTTTAATAAACAAAACACATAAATATTTAACAAGAAACTCGTGTGGAAATTGGGGCTCAGCCAGCATCTTATGATTTGTGCTCGTTTTTCCAGGTCAACCTGATGCAGTACATGAAGCTGAGCACCTCGAGAGATTTCCGCATCAACGCCGCCACCTTGGATGCGGCCCTGCAGGAGCAGGAGGAAACCGGGGAGGTCGGTGAAAACTTCACATGATCCCTCAAATAGATTTATCCCTGATGTGACAAAAACCTAAAACATCCTTGCGATTTTAGTTTTCAAGAGACCCGTCCGTCAAACGTGGCTCGTCTTTCTTATTTCTCAGACTCAGGAGTCGCAGGACGCAGAGGAGAGCCAGGAGCCCAAGCGGAAGAAGAGAAAACAGTGAGCTGGAAACGACTCCTTTCCTCGACATCACGAACCTGCCGGTCAGCAGGAAACGGCTACCTGCCTTTGCTCAGGGAGCCTTTGGTGATGCTGAGGATTTGGTTCATGTCCAGGGCCTCACCTGTGGAAAGTTTTGCACACTTTGTTTAATAATCTGTTATATGTATGTCAATTCATTAAAAGAAGCATCTTTTAAATATGAAGTGAACAGTTTTATTTAATTAAAATAGGAATTAGTTTCTTCCTGCTTTTCATAATTTAGACAATTTTCAACAATTCAGCTTCTTTTGCTGAATTTCCCCGATAAACAAAACTTGTTTGTTTTTGAGTAGAAGATGGTGTAGGCGTAGCAGAGAACAGTTTTCACTTTATAACACACTAACGTCAGGGAAAGATTAGAATGCACACAGTAAGAGTCGCGAATACAACTCCAAACCACTAAGTGGCTCGGAGTTTTATTCTGAATCCTTTTGGCAAAATAAATAGTTCCTGTTGCATTTCAGACTTCCTCCTGTCTTTTCTGTGCTGTGGATGTATTAAAAACATTCTTTACTGACCAAAATGTTGGCATTTAAAGACAAAAGGACCGGAGCTCACCAGGTGGAATACCGTATCGCCTCTCCATACCGGTGGGGTTGGAGGGAGTCACACAGTCCATAGTAACTTCCTTCCTCAGACATTGGTCAATGTCGACCGCGCTGAAGAACGCCACCGACTGTGGAAGGTCCTGCATGCCTAACGCATGGGCAAACATACACCTGTAATTAAAAAAATTTAAAAAAAGCAATGATAAATAAACTGTGGAGCGATAATGAATACAATCAGAAGTGTTCTGCACAGTGACCTTGTCAGCAGGTTTGTGATCTGCAGCGCCAGCGCTGCTCTGTAACGATCTTCGCTGCGGACGAGGTAACGCACTTCGTCGTGGATGCTGACGCAGAAACGGCCGTCGATGTTGTACTCCTCGAAGAGCCACTTCATGGCCACCAGCATCAGGTGCAGGTAGTCCACCGCGGAGCTCTGGACCGCCCAGTTCACTCTGCTGGTGATAAACTGGAAAGTCGAATTAGGATTTAGATGAGAACAAGGGGCGCACAGAAATCAGCATGAGACTAAAAGTTGACTTAATGCTGGATCAGTCAATGCAGCATATATAGGCTACACCTCCTCTGCAGAGTGGAAGATATTACTGAATAAATAAAGAGTCGGCTGTAATCACTATCAGTGAGATGAAGCCTTAAGGATCTAAAAAAACAAAAAACTGCATTTTTAGCATGGCTGCTGTTAATTTGGACGACCACAAGAGGGCGATAGACTATAACAGAAGGCTCCTGATGAAAAGCCATGCTTTGATTGTAAAACATGCATTAAGAAATACTGGCAGCTTCAGAGTCAGAGGTAAGGATCCACATATTGTACAGAGAACACACAGACTAATAATTACTGTTAGCTATGCTAGTTGCTAATATAAAAGACTAAAATATCTGTGATTCTTTTGCCACAGTTAAACAGGGTTTCACTAGTATTCAAAAACACAGTGTGACGTCACCTGTGGTCCTAATAAATTGCAAGAAGCAGCTTTTTGTACAGTCGTGCTAAATAATGAAGGATTTAGCAATCGTAACACATGAGTGATTGGCCAATGTTATTTTTTATTAAAAGAAACGAATGAATATTTGAGAATGTGGCGGCACGCTTTACATTTTCAGGGAAGAAAAAAGGAGAAAGAAATGGAATCTGTCCAGTTTGGAGATGCGATGGAATACCTTTAACTTTGTGTGATTCAGAATAAGTCAGCACTGTAACTGTAGTTTTTTTTTTTACTTAGCATATACATTTTATGAATAAGGTTTTGAATATCAAGAAAGGGAGCACATTTGTAAAGTTCTGAAAGAGAAATTGGATAAAACTGGTTTTAACAAGTCAAAACTACAAAATTTTGAGAAACCTTTGATTAATCTGTAACTTTCTGTTTCCCTGATGTTTAAATACAATATGACGCAGAGTCTTATTGTTATATGCTCTCCAAGGCAGGAAAGACATGAGAACGTTCCATTCTATCAAAGCGTGTGTTCATCTTCAAGTTCTATAAAAACGGCATCCAACTCATAATACGGGAACAAAAACACATTTATTGCTGACGTAAGTACCAAAAAGATTCAGTATGTCATATTTGACGGCCCATTTATATTAATAATGAACATAGCATTAGTTTTTTTTTACTGTCTCACCTCATCTTTTACGGCCTTGGGCTCCAGAGCTCTGCTGATCCTGCAGCCTAGAACAGGAGTGGCCGGCTGCGCTGAATGAGCGATGCTCTCCAGCTTGTTGAACATGTCCGACTCCGTGCCTCCGGCCCAGACGCGTTTGGCCACAACGTCCCACTTCTTTCGCCGGGAGCTGAGACGTTACGGCAAGCACGCACGGAAGATGAGAGGCGGCGGTGTCCAGAGACGGAGTAGCGGAAAGCTACTGAGCTTTGATTATACTCGCTCTGTTACCTCTGCGATGCAAGTCTACTGATCCTCCGCAGCTCCTCCAACGAGACGCTTCCATCCTCCTCCCTTTGCACATCTATGCCCAGCTCATCGACGAGCCACTCGCCCTCCTCCGATAGATGGTATCTGGCGAGAAAAATGTATAAAAACGGCAACCGCCTCCAACTAACTCCAGCTGAAACCTTCTCCGTTCACGCTGCTGAGCTCACCTGCGTACGCCCTTGGTTAGAGCATACATCTGCCTGGCCTTGCTGGCAGCTTCTGTCTGATTGAGGCGGTGGTTGAACTGCATCAGCAGCCTCTCGGCAAACGGCTGTCCTGCCCCGTATATCCGCCCGTAGTTGAACACCTTGGCGTGTTCTCTGCTGATGCCCACAGCGTCTGCGGTCCTGCTGTGCAGGTCGGTCCCCTGACTTTTCTTTCCTTGAAGGGTCATCCAGCCAAATGCTGTGCAACCTAGACCACAGATATTCAGGCAAGACTGCAAGTAAAAAACTGCATTTTTTTTTTTTTTTTAGTAATGCAGCCCAATTTTATAGGGATTTATTTTACCGTGCATGCCAGCAAAGTGAGCCTCTCCGAGTACAGCAGCAATCCAGAGCTCCTGAGAGTCTACGTCTGCTCCAACCAGGTGATATCCAGGCGGTACCTGAACCATGGCTTTCATTTCACTGCCTACCCGGTCCCTCTGAGGAGGAAACAAAAGCTGATTTTAAATATAATGTCATTTAGTCTAAAACCGACTAGGAAACTGATGATTTTACACTCTTCAAACAGACTTATAATATAAACTAAAGCATAATATGGCCACTACCATGATCAACAGCTGGTAATATGGTTTAGAAGTCTCATCCAAAAATGTTTTTTTTTTTTCTCTCCAAATGAAACAGTTTGAGAAAAAGCATCATTCGAACTGCTCTTTAAAATGTTTGTCAGCTTCTTGCAGACTTTGTCCGACTTCCTACATCAGCTCGTCTTCTTACCCGAGCATTACTGGCGGTCAGCCATGTTGGCTCCACAGCCCTGCGGGTCACAGTCCCAGCTGTGATGACCTGAGGCAGGATGGCCCCGTACTGGCCCTCTTCATCATAGTCCTTATGCCTTTCGGAAGACGCAAAGTTAGATGCATAATAGTTTTGTTTTCGTTTCTGGAATGGCAAAGCGCCATACACACCTGCTGACGTTACGAGGAAGTTCTCCTTTCCGTAGCCACAGCACCATCTGAGAACTTTGAGGAGGCAAAAGTTAAACCCACGTTCAGTTCTGGCTGTGATCCGAACAGCAGATGGGTGGGTACCTTATCCGTTTGTGAGCGTTCCTCCAGAAAGACATCATCTTGTTGATCTCCAGAGCTCGTGTTGCGTTGGTTCCACCTCTCCCTGCTCTTAACGTACCGTCCTCCATTTTAGCCAAGAAGTCCTTTGAAAAAGGGCTGCCTACATTGTTGTGATTACCGTCCTGTTGGAGCGATTAGTCAGAGTGGGAAAAATAAATAAAAAACAACCCAATGGAGCCATTAAGGGCACCAAAGTGAAATTAAAGTTGCTCACCTTGTGAGGTAATTTAAAAAACCAGCAACCTGGAATATCTACGTCGTCGTAGGGGCCGTTTCCATGGTGATAGTGGCAGCGACTCTCCTCGCTGAGAGAAAAGGGATCGTGGGACTGCTGGTAAGGGATAAAATGAGTGGAATAGAATAAATCCCAGCTGAAAACGTAATGGGCCAAAAAAAAATCCAACTCCATAACAAGAAAGAACTGGTCGGTCCATACTGACCGTCGTCAACTTTTTCTCGTTTTTTACCACTCTGGCTCCGTTTTCTTCTGGGAAATGTTCCAAGGAGCTCAACTCCTCCACCTTTAAGCGCAGAAAAACACAAAACATATCACAGTCAGTACAAGTCATCGCAGAAAATATAGACACAATCAATCAATCAATCAAATTTTATTTGTATAGCACATTTCAGCAGCAAGGCATTTCAAAGTGCTTTACATAATAATAAAAAAAACAGCATGTGACATTGAAAAAACAGTAAGAAAGAGAAAGAGATTTTGAAAAAAATAAATAAATAAAAAAATAAGAAATGAATTACTCGTACCAATACTGACTGAAGAACCAGAAGTCAAAATGAGCTAAACAATCACATTAGTGCTTCCTTGGGGGGACAAATATTTAAATTAACACTATAATTATTTATATGTTAAGCACCTTCGTCCACACTGTGCTGTCGGTCCACACAGGCTCATCTGAAGGGTTTAGATGCTCAGGCTGCTCCTTGCTGTTCTGCTCACAATATTCTTTATATATCCTTTCAATGACTCTGTGAAAACACACGTTTAAAACTGAGGTTAAATGATCAGCACAATAGTAGGCAATGAGTCTCGTTGCAGAATATTCTTGTTTTACACATAAATTAAAAGGAGGATATCCTTAGCGGAAGATGAATATTAATGACTAAGAACAATATTTCACAAAAAAAAAAAAAAATGAACATTTTCCTGTGCAGTCCGTGTGTCGAGTCTTTTTACTCGAAGAGCACCAAGTCAAGCACCTGTGTGGGCACAGAGACTCAAGATTTTCCTCCTGAGGATTCAGATTATCCCTCCGCCCGGGAACCAGGTATCCCCAGCCGTGTTTCTCCGTGTAATGCAGGGGGAAGCCGTCCCACGTCAGGCCCATCAGTTTCGGCGTCAGCCTCATCTGCAGGCTGATGAGGCTGGCTCCCGGCGACCAGCTGTCTTCTGACATCTTCTCACACAGCTTACGATACCACCTAGAGAGCGTCGGGTCGAAGAAGGAGAGGCTTTCAGAAAGAAAAGAGGGAAATGCCCAGTAACAGGTGACTGTGGTGTTCTGGAATAATCTTACGCTGGATGTCCAGGAAGATGTTGCCTTCTCTTAGGAAGACGACTCACTGTTTCCTTGAGTTTCTCAACAGCCAGCCTGCTGGAGCAAGGACCTGCCATCTCCTCCTCAGATGGCGGGCCTGGGTCTGAAAAACAATAACCAGCTGCTTTAGTTTTTTTTTTGTTTTTTTGTTTTTTTTTAGGGGGGGGATCGTCATTAACTTCAAAAACTTGCAGTAGTAAAATAAAAATTTTAAAGAAATGACATACCATCTTCCCAGTCTGGAAGCAGAGTGGAAGTCTTTGCTACAGCTGCGTTTTTGGAGTTTTTCTTCTTGCTGGCAGCGACTTTCTTCTGCTTGAACTCCTGAACGTCCCACTCAAGATCCCAAAGCCAGGGGTCTTCTTTGTACCTTAAAATATAAACCATGTGATTTTATTATTTTTTTTTTTTTATCCATAACAGTGTTGCATAGAGAGTTATCAATCTAACAACCCAAAGAGCCCAGCCAAATAAAACTGATCTAAAGCTGCGAGGGCTAAATGACCCTTGAAAATAATAAATGAAACCATTTGAAATTTGGTTCCATTTTGGAAATAAGGAACCACCATGAACGCTCCATACTTACGAAAATAACATGAAAAACCTAACAAAACTTTCAACCTTATAACAAAACTACTAGTTTTATTTTGGAATTTCAATTTAAATATTGCATAAAATTACATAGAAAAATCCCCAAAACAACTTTTTTTTTTTTTTTTAATTACTGTCATATTTGAAAACATTGCTTGGTTACTTATCATTTCTGATCCCAGCTATTAAGAGTGGGGGGTATAAAGGGAACAGATGAGTAGATGACATGTAAACATATGGCCTATCCAGAAGTATTACCTTAAGACACAATCTGAAATAGAATGAAATGCTATAACACAGCCAACAGCATGGGACTTTATCAGTTACTCTCTGACCGGTCATCCTGCAGGAGTTGACAGGCATCGTCGGCTAGAATCATCAGAGACTTCTTCATCTCCCTCTCAAGCTCTTCGTAGACATCTTGGGAGTCCTCCAGGTAGCGGTCCCAGTTCTGGTTAACGGGAAGGTAGCTGACACCCATCTCCAGCATCCCAGCAAACGTCACTGGATGCGGACACCTTACCAAATGCAGAGGAGGCGATTAAGTTTTTAACAGCAGCGAAAGATGACTCTTCAAACTAAATACATCATGATATGACTCCAAAACACCTAGAAGGACACCAAATACAAACAAGCAATACGGGACAGAGATCATCTGTCCCTGACCTCTAATCTAATACTAAATCTTACAAATTTACTGCCTGACAAACTTACACTTTTCAACATTTTGCTGCGTTGCACCCCCAAATTTTAACATATTTTATTTTGACTATAATTTACGGGACAAAAAACACATAGTTTTCAACATTTGGTTTAGTTGAACGAGACCAAAACTGATCTTTACAACCAACACACAAACTACTATGTGTGGCAGAAAACAAACTCTGCACATCATACTGAACACACAATACTAACAGTGAAACATGGCAGTGGCAGCATGATGCTGCTGGAATGCTTTACTTCACCAGAAAGAGCAGCCCTAGTGCAGATGCACTAGATATGCACTTGCAGCTGTAAATGCAATGAAATGTAGTTCTGCAAAGTATCGACTCAGAGGAGCTGAAAACAGTTGCACACTTCATTTATCGGATTTTCATTTCCAACCACTGTGCAACTGTGCAACGCGTACAAGTTGAAGGGGTATAGATGCTTTTGCACAACTTCTGGTGTTTATGTTCGTGGGTCTGCCAACCTCTCCATGAAGAGGGGCAGCTGCTCTGTGAAGACCTGATGCGTGGCCTCAACATCCAAAGCGCAGTACTGCATTAGCTCCTGTAGATGGCAGCAAAAGCACATTAATACTCCATAACTCCAGTTAATATTCAAACTTTTTATTTATTTCCAACCTGAAAGTTGTTCCTGACGTCAACCATAGTTCCTTTCACAAAAATGTCTCTGGCCTCTTTCTGCAGTGGCGGCCCTCCCACATATAGAGCATGGACGTCAGCTAGATTGTTAATACTGCTCATGTCCACCCAGGCCCAGGAGCCAATCTGTCAACAAAGCATGGAGTTTTTTTAATGCAAAAAAAAAAAAAAAAAAAAACTTTACAAAATCAAAATTCAATTTATAAGTTTTACAAGTAAATTAGAGTGAAACAACACAAACCATTGGGCCTTCCCTCTTCTGTCCAGCTTTCTTAATGTGCTCCTTAACCTCCTGAAGGCCCCTCTTCTTACCCAGCTTGTTGGCCATCCACAGCGTGCGCTGGAAGGCCGTCAACCCAGAGATGGCCATATGAAGGCTCATGGTGTCCATGAAGCGTGTATTTGGACCCTGAATGCAACAAAATGGATGCCTTAGTCGACATAAACTGACAGATTAAAGAAAAGCACAAAAGAACAACGAACCTAACCTTCAGAAGGTACTGCTCCTTGATGAAAGATCGATCAAAGCTGACGTTGTGACCCACTATGAGCCTCTCCTTCCACTGACCGCCTGGAGGGCGGGAAGAGTTAAACGGCGTCTCCAGGGGAATGAGGTCTGCAAGAGTGAGCTGGTTTGACCAAGAGTACCGCTCCTCAATTAGACGCTTACTGCACCAGGAGTACCTGACGAGACAAAGGAAGTTAGGCTCTCAGCACACACACAGTGCCTCATTCACAAATTTATCAAGCCGTGACTAAAAACTTCAATGTATTTTTATTTGAATTTAAGTGACTGACAAAGATAAAGTAGTGAATAACTCTGAAGTGGGAGGAAAATAGCTTTGAAATACATTTGAGAAGGTTTGTTAGAGAACAAAGGGCATCATGAAGATCAAGGAGCCCAGTGGGCAGGTCAGAGGTGATGTAGTAGAGAAAGTTTAGGGCAGGTGAGTCTTCAAGATGTTGACTATGACAGTCCGAATACATCAACATGCCACATATTGCATATAAGCGAGCCACATTTCAAAATAGTTATTTGTAAAAAAAATAAATAAATAAATAAATAATTAAAAATGTATTGAAAACCATGATTCCTTTTCTAAAAGCTTCGTAGTTATATGTTTGTTTGTGTTGGTCTGTCACCTAAAATCTCAGTTGTGGTGGGAATGTGACAAAATGTGAAAACATTTAAGAGTCATGATGAAGGCAAAATAACCACAACGGTTTTCCCATTTTTACATGTTATATGTTGATATTTGTTTCTCACCAGTTGGTAGGAGAAAGAGCGACAGCCAGCGTAGGGCACTGCCCCTCCGTTGTGCACACCTCCACATCAAACACTAGCGCGGACTCGTCTGGGAAATCCACTTTCTGACTTTCCCCACCAGGCCCATAGCGGGTCCAGCCCACCTCCCAGCTCCATTCCTGAGGCATGGGTGGGGGTTCGGCCTGCTGCAGCTTCGAGGCGGCCTCCAGGTAGGGAAGGCTCTGCTTCTCGGCCAAGATGCGGAAGTGGTCATCTATGTTTTTCCCAAACATCCGCGGAAGCTTGAGGTCGACATCAGGCAGCAGTGAGGTTTCCTTCCCCCACAGATTGTGATTCTGCAAGTGCCTTATGCTGCGCTCCACAGCTTCCTCCCTGTACTCTGGCTCAATGCCACGAAAGATTTGCTCGTGGAGGTTTCTGGAAAGCATCTGGATGTTGAGGGGGTTCAGGCGGGTCTCCGTCGAGTCCTCGCCCTGCTGTGAGCAAGGTTTGGTGGAGTAGAAGGACTTTAGACGCCTCCATCGCAGAGAGACAAACGTCCTCTTGAGAGGACAGCGTGACAAATGCAACATCACCTCATGCGGACGTCTCACCAGAGCTGTAGGACAAGCAGATAGCAACAAATTAACCTCACATGACTTCTTTGATAATGAAACAATATCCAGAAGTATAAATTTCCACTGTCAGATTTCATACAAAAAAAAAAAAGCTTTCAAAAAGTGTACTGAAGAAAACACAGCAAATTCTTCCTGGGGTGTATTTGGATCAGTGACACCATACGTGTCACAAGAGCTAAACTGGTCAGCTAACAGTTACATCAGATCCAGGGAGACTTTTGACATATTTCAACATAGATTCTGAAGCGTCTCAGTTATGTTGAGTTGTGTTTAGGTAAAATGGGTTCTGGCTGTACATGTCTGAGCCAGTGTTTAAGTCTGAATCTGATCAACCCCAATGAAAGCCAAAGCTGAAGCAAACCTACACGATGACAGCAATCACCACTAGAACTTTACCTTGTACAAATCTGTTGATATACTTGGTCGAATTTTTCATTATAATTCGCATGAATCTTTGTCAGTCATAAGGTCAATGACAGCCATTAAATTGAATTTGCTTCACAACCCGCTTAGGGTTAGGGTTATCGCTGCTGCTTACGATCTTTTTTCTACCTCACTTTTTTCCTTCTATTCAACTTTCTATTAATATAACTGGATGCAACTTTCAGATGCATCCCTGCTTCAACACACCTGAATCAAATGAATGGCTCGTTATCAGGCCTCTGTAGAGCTGACCCCGGTCTGATGGAGTAAGGATACTTCTAAAACTTGCAGGATGGTAGCTCTCGAGGACTGGACTTGGGCACCCCTGGTTTATAGGCACCAGCCTCCTCGCAATTCTAGGACCTCTGCAAATATAAATGAGCCTCAATTCTTTTTCACCACAAAAACAGTGTTTACAAACCCTGCTCCCACGTGTTAATCTTTAAGTAACTTACTCTATAATCATTAAACGTAGCTTTTTTTTTTGTTTAACTCGGTGACAGAGGACAAGAGAGAAACGCACACTTTAGCTTACTTGTTTCAGGCGGTGGGATTTATTGTGAAGTCCGCCTGTAACCGAACGAAGGCATCTTTGCGTCCCATCCAGTTTGAGTTTTAACACTAAATCCAAAAGGTTAAACTATAGCGACACCACGCGGTCTGGATGATTCATAAACCTTTAAAACGCCTTAAATAAATACATAGGATAAAGACTTGTACGGAAATGACGGTTCTTGTTTCTTTTGCAAACCACTCCATACGCACGTCACCCTTTATGAAAACAAAACGGAATAACCAGCCAAATGGTAGACATTGATATTTGTCAATGTTCACATATCTAAACGTCGGGGCCGCGTGGCCTAATGGATAAGGCGTCTGACTTCGGATCAGAAGATTGCAGGTTCGAGTCCTGCCGCGGTCGCATTTTTTATTTTTATTTTATTTTAACCTTGATGTTTGTGTCAAGTCTTTTCATTGATTTAAATAATCCCCGAGCTGCTGTTCAACCAGCCAAGCATTTGACATTACAGACAGTGGAAACTGTAGAAATTATTAGATTTATTTTGACATATGGAATCTGGTTTCTGATGTGGACTCAAAGGCGGAGGACGCCTGGATGTCGGTCGGATTACTTTGCACATACTATTTGCAAGTACGGAGCGAAATGCATTTTCTAAACTATAAATGCTATTTTAAATCATTTGTGGTCTTTTAATTTTTAGAGGACCATACTGTTGGCGGGCAGGAGGGGGAGTAGAGAGCCGTGGGGATAAGCGGCACTGCAGTATATAGACTGCTAAAAATCCTGTCTGAGTCTTTTACATCTTCATTTTCCTTTATCAATAATTGGTGGTTTTACTCTTTAACAATTGCTAGAGTTTGCTATTATTTATATTCTTTTGGTGGACCATACGTAAATGAATGGTTTTTATTGTCCATTTTACCACCTTTGTGGGGGAGAAAAGAGGAGTTACTAACATGATATGCTAATGTGAGCTTCTCCAATCATTATGTTCAGTCATACTGTTTTCAGAATTACAGGAGTCTGATTTACAGACTTGCTGTCTGTCATTTGAATCAGGTGTGCTGGAGCAGAGACATGGAACACATGAATACCATTGAGAGTCAACAAATTTGATCTCTAACTTTTATGGCCATTGTCCTGCTGGGTGGTGTTTAGATTTTTACATATTATTATACAGCATCGAGGATTGCTTTGTATTTAGCTCCAGCCATTTTCTTTAACTCTACCCTTGTTTACTATCCCGGTATCATGATGCTTCCACCACCAGGGATAGAGATGGTTTGTTCAGGCTCATGTGCAGAGTGAGTTTGCCACCCCAAATAATGTTTCTTTTTTAGGCTTGAATATTTAGTTACAATCTCATCTGATCAGAGTTGTACTGACCAGATCTTTAGACTGGACAACTGTTACTTTGTCAGTTGTCCAGTTTCTCCAAACTTAACTCTTAGCCGTACAGGATACAAGACGGATCTATTTGTCTTTTTCAGTTTGTCGCTCTAACAAGTATTTCTCAGAAGGTGGAAAACTCTTCTGTTTCCTTTTCTTTAAAGGCTGTGGGACTTGATTTCCGACCTCCAGACAAGCTCTCCTTTAGACAGACCCTCCTCCAGCGTGTGAGTGTCTGCATAATTCACTGCCTCCCATTGCCCATTGTTAATATGCCAGAGAACATTAAAATAATATATTTTCTCTTTCATCCAGACAATATCTTCGGAATGCTATGAACAGTGCCGCTCTGTGGTCACTCTGTTGTGTCTGTGCGTGAGAAACAGTAGGCATTGGTTTACCTTCCAACTTGAACGCGTTGAGTCTCGTGGATGCTTCTATTTCATGCTTTTCAAATGTTAATCATGGATCATGTCAGTAAATGGACAGTTGCACTGATTGTTGCTAGCTTAAAACAACTTAATTTTTATTCATTTGTACTGTGTCATGCAGGTCTGTGTGTCTGAGATCACAGTAGAGAGATAAATAAATAAGGACATAAGCAAGCTAACAAGTGTATTGAGATCTTAATTACTGGACCTAAAATTATTTTTCTGTGAGTTACCAAATTATGCCAGACGGATTTCAGCTGAAATAAAGGTTAGAGTTTTACCTACTTGTTGGGCAGTTTAATTTGTCATCTGGCAGGTCGATACATAGCCTGAAGCAGACATTTAAAATAGTTACCAAAGATGATTTAGGAGGCATTTGAAATTCAGCATACAATAATAGCTCAAAGTGCATCAAAATATTCAGAAGAATCCCAGTCCCAGTCACATAAGTGAAACACTGTGGCCTATACTTTAAATCTGACTGTTCATGCTGGACACTTAACGTGTCACCATTATCTAATGGAGGAGGTGTCATCTCTAAAACTACTCAGAAAAATTCTCTTTTGCTCCTCGCATTAATTTGGAGGGAACTTTTCAGTCCAGTCTTGGCAATGGATCTTAATGTTAATTTGCCAAAAAAAAAAAAAACTCTCAAACCTCAAAGATCTTGTATTTCTCAAGAGAGCTCACACTTAGTTGCAGCCATTTATAGTCCTCTACTGGTAAGCTATTTACACTCATTGAAGATTCTAACATAACTGTTCATACTTTTATTTTATGCTTTAACTGTGCTTTTAACTTTTTACAGAACAAAAGCAAACATTGCCTTTAAATAAGTTAAATAATGACAATCATGAGAGATGTTTTAAGACTAAAATTGGGGCCTCATGTTTTGGAATCTATAGCTCCAACATGTGTAACAACTGAATAGTGTCTTAAAAGTCCGTTTTTATTACTATTATTTTGGTTTTACGTTAGACCAATGCAAAGTAGTGGATAATTCGAAGAAAACAAATGGAGTTTTCAGACTTTTTTAATAAATGAAAATCTTACAGCATGGCAAGTTTATGTATTTATCACCCCTAACTGATGCACATCTATTTGGCTTCAGGCTGCCTAACTAGTAAATAGGATCCACTTCTGTACACTTTATTCTCAAAGTTTTATGAAGGGCTCAGCATTTGTTAGAGAACACTGTGAACAAGCAGCACCAAAAGCAACACAGCAGGGTCGGGATAAGCCGATGGAAAAGTTTAAAGTAAAGGTTAGGCTACAAAGCTGTATCACAAGATACTGCTTTACAGCCGTGTTCAAAGAAGAAAATCTTCTATGAACAGGAATATTTTGTGTCGTACAAAACTGCCCAAAAGAAAGCTAAGAAGTCCCATTTCCAGACTGTCACAAGCCATATAGGGTGCACAGCAAACATGTGGCAGATGGTGCTCTGCTCCAATGAGACCTAAATAAAACTTGAAAGGAAAACGTTGTATGTTCCAGAAAACCGTCACAGCACATTATCCTGCCCATACCATTCCCATTGTAAAACGTTGTGGTGACAGCATCATGCTTGGAGGACATCTATATTTTTTTTCACAGGGAGATGGTCAGAGTTGAGGGGAAGACGTGGAATTAAATTCAGGGTAGACGATCAATTAGCAAAGCATCTCACAAGCATAAAGCTCAGGCATTAATTTGCAAGAGGTCTGTTCCATAAAGTATCTAAAAAATACTGAAGTCAGTTACAAAAGCAGGAAAACGTTCAAAAGGCTTACATTGCTCAGCAAAAATTAAAACGCAACTTGGATTCACACAATTCGTGTTTAATTAAGTAGAAAAAAAGTCACGTGAAAGCAACTCGTAGTGGGACATCAATCTGCAATTTGAAGATCTTTGCAGAGTTCTTACTCTGTGATTGGTCAATTCGCGGCCCTGGTCCTGGCATGATGTCAGTGCGGGAGCTGGTTGTCAGACAGTGGAGGAAGAGCGCAGACTGGAGGAGAGACAGAAGCTGGAGGACTGAGGATGGAGAAGGATATATTGACTCTGTCTGCATTGAAACCAGATGTGAACGCAGAGAAAATCCACCTGGAAGACTCAGCACGACCTCAAATTGAAGACATTTTGGCTACAGAGTTTTGCTCTTGCTTGCGACACACAGGTCAGAAACGCCTCTGGAAATCGGCAAATCTGCTCGCGTATCCGCACATTATAAATGTATTTAATCTTTCCAGGTTTAACATTTTTCAACGATGATGATGGATGCTTATTACAAATGATCTTTTTTTTTTTTTTTTCTTTTACAAGAGCAGACATCGTATTTAAAGGGTGGAAACACCCTTGTGTCTCATTTAAAATAAGAGCGCAGCACAGCGTTAAATGGTCTTAAACACCCCTAAAACCCTTGTTGGACAAATCCTCAGAATGTTAAAGGCTTCTAGGACCCCAGGCCTTCTGTTATGTTCAGGAACAATTTGGGATTTTTTTGTAACATGTGTGCGGATTAGTCCTTGTGATGTGAAATAATCTAGTTTCAGAAGTAGGCCAATCACAACTCTCATTAAAAGTAGGGAATCTTTGCCCTCAGGAGCACTAAAGAGCTAACAGATAATTAGAGCATCTTAAAGCCCAGTTCAATTTAGAATGGAAAGATTTTTTTGTTATTATTAGGGGGAAAAAATTGCAGTTTTTTTTATTCGAACATTCTTTCGCCTGTGATGATGTCAGGTTCGTGTTAATGCTTTTCAGATCACGTTACAGAGTGAGGTGAAATACCCTTTTAATGCAAACTTAAGTCAAATAAGCAGCACCATGATGTTGG